GTAAATGATTTCCAATGCCTGGTTTAATTTATTTTTAAATGAAATTTGTTATTGATTCTGGATTAAAAGGACAAATCTTACGGCTGTTACCACTGACAGAGCCATGGCGCTCAAGTGACACCTCTCAAGGAGGGGAGGGAGCGCGGCCGCCCCGAGTCCGGGGAAGGGGCAGGCTCTTCTGGGAGCTCAGCTCAGGCGCAGGAGGCCACACAACATTTTCTGCTGGGGGGGGGGGACGTTTTATAAAAGATTTATTTATATGTATTTGAAAGGCAGAGTGATAGGGAAAGACAGCGATGGAGAGATCTTCCATCTACTGGTTCACTCCCCAAATGGCTTCAAAGGCCAGGGCTGGGCCAGGATGAAACCAGGAACCTGGAGCTCCAGCCTCGGCTCCCACACAGGTGGCAGGGGTCCAAGCACTGGGGCCGTCATCCCAGCACTACCGATGAGAGCATTAGCAGGGGCTGGGTGGAGAGCAGAGCATCTGAGACTCGAACCGGCATTCCAGTGCGGGAGGCAGGCATCAAAAGTGGCGGGAAACAACCCCACTGCACCACAATGCCATCCCCTTCGGGAACGCTTTATTTTTTTAAGATTTATTTGTTTGAAAGGCATAGTTACACAGAGAGAGAGAGACAGACACACAGAGAGAGACAGACACAGACACAGACACAGAAAGAGATCTTCCGTATCCTTGTTCACTCCCCAAATGGCCACCCATATGGATGCTGGTTATAATCCCAGCTGCTCCACTCCTGATCCAGTTCCCTGCAATGTACTTAGAAAAGCAGTGGAAGATGGCCCAAGTATTTGGAGCCCTGCCGCCCACGTGGGAGAACCGGAAGAATCTCCTGGCTTCTGGCTTCAGCTTGGTCCAGCCCCAGCCATTGGGGCCATCTAGGGAATGAGCCAGCAGATGGAAAATACCTCTCTGTAACTCTGACTTTCAAATAAATGAATAAATCTTTAGGGAACAAAAATCCTCTTTGGGTGTGGGTGTTTGGCACCTGGTTTGAGTCCCAGCTCCTCCACTACCAACCCAGTTTCCTGCTAATGTGCACCCTGGGTGGCAGCAGATGGCGCCTCGAGTTTCTGGGTAGCTGCCGTCCACGAGGGAGACTGAAACTGAGTTCCAGGCTCCTGGCTTCAGCCTGACCCAGCCCTGGCTGTGGCAGGCGTTTGGGCATTCCCAGTGGATGAAAGGTCTGTCTTTCAAAGAAAATGAAAATGAATAAATAAAAAAAAATTTTAGAAGAGCATTTTCCCAACTAAAACGTTTGACAGGATGTCCTTTCTGAGCCTCACTTGTGTAGTGGAAACGGCAGGGATATCTGCCTCCTGGCATCCACACGATTGCCAGATGCTTGTCGAGTTGCTTCCAGGGGATGGGAGACCACCTGTCCCCCAGAGCAGGCCCAGAGCAAAAGGCGTGATGCTCACCCGCCCTTGTGAATCGCAGGAGGCTGCCTCCTGGGTCCTCTCTGGTTACCTTCTGCCTCACCTGGGCTCTCCACTTCCACACTGCCTGCCATTTACAGATGAGAGACAGAGTTACACAGGCTGGTGATTTGTCCTTTCACATCCAGCTCTGGCCTACCTCCCTGGGCAACCTCGTGCAGGTTACCTCACCTCTCTGAGCTTTGGTTTCCTCTTCCGTAAGAGAAGGAAGGCAACACTATGGGTGTCGGGAGCTGTGTGGATTAGGTGAGATGGAGGATGCAATTGTGAGCTGTGTTGCAGCAACTACAAATGGGGCAGTGTGGTACAGTGGGAGGGCCCTGAGCTGTGAGACAGGCCTGAATCTAGTTTGTCATGATTAGCTGCGGGCTTGGAGGAAGTCACTCCCCATCTCTGGGTCTGGAAAGAGGCTTGGCAGAAGTAGAGATGCACAGGTGTTGTACGGGACCACAGGCTCTGGAATCAAACATGCTGCTGCTCTACCACTGCCTTGCTGTGTGACTTTGGGTAAGACACTTAACCTTTCTGAGCCTGTTGCTTATCTGTAGACTAACAGCAGCCTACATGGTCAGCATGTAGCAGGTATTTACTATGTGTCAGACACTGTTTTAAATGCTTTCCAGGGGCCGGCTACGTGGCACAGTAGGTTAATCCTCTGCCTGCGGTGCCAGCATCCCATATGGGCGCCAGTTCTAGTCACTGCTGCCCCTCTTCCAATCAAGCTCTCTGCTATGGCCTGGGAAAGCAGTAGAAGATGGCCCAAGTGCTTAGGCCCCTGCACCCATATGGGAGACCAGGAAGAAGCACCTGGCTCCTGGCTTTGGTTTGGTGGAGCTCCGGCCGTTGCGGCCATCTGGTGAGTGAACCAATGGTAGGAAGACTTTTCTCTCTGAATCTCCCTCTCACTGTCTGTAACTCTACCTCTCAAATAAATAAATAAAATTTTTTTTAAAAAAGAGCTTTCTGTAAAAAAAAATGCTTTCCAGGTAGCAACTCCTTTAATCCTCACAGTAATGTTGTGAGAGAAGTACTATTGTCCTTATTTACAAACAAAGAAACTGAGACCAGAACAGGGCTACCATTTTGCAGGAGCCACAACTCAGGCATTGTGGCTTCAGAGCCCACATTTATCATCACGCCATGCTACCCTATGACCTGGTTGCTCTGAGGATGAAGTGGAATGATTGTATTTGTAGCTCAGTGCTGCATATACAGCCATGGGCCAACAGGGGCTCAGAAAATGGGAGACGGTAGTAGGCGCTTCCACCTGTAGGTGACTCAGGCTGTGCCTTGGACAATAGGGGATACGTCTAGACAGAGGGGAAAGCAAGCATCAAGTGCAGGGGATGCACTGGGCAGGGCCATGACATTGCGAAGCTAAGGCACACCCAGGGAGGGAACAGTGACCGGAACACAGAGTGTGTGCAGGAGGAGAGGCTGAGACCTTGAATGCAAGGTAAAGGAGTTGGGCTTTCTCAAATAAACAAGGCCATTGGAGGGTTTTGAGAAGAGTTGTTACGTCATGAGATGTTTCGAAGCCTTCCAGTCTCTGGAGGTCTGTCCTTGAAAGGATCTTAGAAGTTACTAGGTTTAACGTTGTTCCAAATGTGGGGAGAGGAGATTCCTGGAGGTCAGCCATGCCAGTGGCAGAGCAGTCTGACCCTGTGCAGCCCCCACGCAGCCCCTTGTTTACTCCTTAACCCTCGTCTCGGCCACACTCACTCCATCCTGCGGTTTAAGAGAAGAAAGCCCTGGGCTTGACCCCTGACTCCCCTACCACCTGCAGCTGGGGCTGAGTCCCTTCCCAGGTTGGCGCTGCCAGGTGAGCTCAGAGTACCAGCTCTTTCTCTCTTTCACGGGAGTGCCGGTGCTCATTTCGTTGGGAGTGAGGTTCAGGTGCATTAATGAGTGAGGAAATGCTGGCATAGGGTCCAAGGCACCGACCAGCTTGGAACACCCTAAATACCACTGCTGTGTGGGAAGAGTGCAAAGAGGCAGAAACGGGCCCGGCCCAGCAGGATCTGTCCGCGGTGCTGAAACGCGGCTTGTGGAAGCGCGACACTGGGGAGTTGTCCTTAGTTTTGAAGGGCCTGGAGTGATGCTGGCGATCATGGGCCCCCTCCAGTGTGCTGCCTGTCATAATAATGGAAGGAGGGAGGTGCACTAGCAGAGTGAAGGTAGCGAAGGAGGGGCAGCCACTGGGCACTGGTGAATGGGTATTGTTTCTGTCTTTCAAAATAAACAAACAAATAATAAGAGAAAGAAGAGCAGAGGACATGCCCCTTGGGCTTTAACCTCATTCTCAGACTGGGGCGCTGACCGCGACGGCAGACGCTGGAACCACGATGGTCTGTCCATGGTGCTGAACTCTGCCGCACAGAGCGGGCTGGGCCGCTCTCCGCGGTACGGAAAAGCTGGGGGTCAGCTGGCGCTGTCCACCTGCTAGCACTGAGCCCGCGGCGGACAAGGCCTCATCGGGAACTAGGCCTTCAGGAGGGCAAGGGAAGATAGCAGGAGGGACGCTGCCCGGGCGTCGGGGCCGCGGGCCGTGGGACTTTAGACAGGCTAATTGTCTGGTTTAGGTGCTGCAGCATCTTTTAAATGGGACCACAGGTCTAGCTTTCTGTCTGTACTGAGGGTCGTCCCAACAGCCCAGGTAACATGGTCAGGGTAAGAATCAGAGGATCTCGTTGGATTCCTGCTCTTGGAGTGGCTCCATTCCCCCCTCCCCTGCCGCACACAGACATACGCATGCACACGCAGACACACACTACACTCACACGGATTCAGTGTGGGCTCATGGGTCCGGGAAGGGAGCCCCGCAGTCCAGAAGGGGGCGATCCGATCCACTGTGCAGGACCAAGCATCTCAGCTAGCAGGAGCCTCGTCAGCTGGCCTGCCCTGCTTCCATTACGCAGACGCCAAAACTGAGTCCCAGAGAAAGGAGCAACGACAATAATTACTAAGCTGCTGCCACGTAAGACGCTTCGTGGTAAGCGCGTTGCATACACGACTCCTCAAAGCCTCACCACGCCCCCTGGAGGCAGCTACTGCTGACCCCATTTCTCAGATGAAGACCTTGAGGTTCAGACAGGGACAGGATCACAAAGGCTGCGGCAGAGCCTTATAACGGGGTTCCTCCCCCTCATCTCCAGCCCCCCACCCCCTGGAGCCCGGCACCACCCTGATAGCAAAGTTGGGGCTCCCCTCGGGGCCCGCCGAGTGTGGCAGCAGGTGAACTGCGTTGTGCCCTGCGCCTGCAGGGAAGTATTTGTCTGTTTCCGAGCGGGCTGGATTATGCTTCCCGTGCAGCTGGTCCCCAGGGTGGCTTCCTCCACACCACGTTGCCCCACCCCCGCTCTCGGGCGGCTGAAAGTTGCGGGTACCGCTTTAAAAATCCCAGCCTGGGCAAAACTTTGATGATAAATCAAGCGGCGGATCCCTCCGCCGCCGCCTGCTCCGGGCGGGCGGGAGGGTGCGGCGGCGGCGGCGCGAGCGGCGTGGCCTTCCGCGGAAGGGAAGAGTCCCGCAGTCGGAGGCGGCCGGCGGGGCGTGCGCTCGCTGCCCGCAGCCGGGGCCGGGCCGGATCGGCCGAGGGCTGGGGCCGGGGCTGGGCGGGGGCCACGCACGAGGAGCCGCAGCGGCAGTCGGGCAGCCAGGCCACCCAGGGCAGGGGACGGCGGGCGCGGGCTCTGCGGTCTCCCGAGCCCCAATGTGAGGCGGCGGCGCCCCCGGCCCGAGCGCGCACCATGGGGGCCCCGCTCGCGGTGGCGCTGGGCGCCCTTCACTACCTGGCACTTTTCCTGCAACTCGGCGGCGCCACGCGAGCCGCCGGCCGCGCGCCCTGGGACAACCACGTCTCCGGCCACGGTGAGTTCGGTCGCCTCCCCCGCGGACTTCCCCACCCAACCCCACCCCGGGGCCGCGCTGCTCCAACTTGGCCACCCTGAGGCTTGAACCCTCGCTGGCTAAGGCTGACCTCTCGGGGCGCCCCCTGCTGGGGCCACAGACCCACCCTGGCACCCGAGCCAGGCCTGCGGAGGAGGGGGCTCCCGGGGTGCACCCCCACTCCCGCATCGGAGAAGCCCCTCACACACACTCACCCATCCACGCACCTCCACGCGGCACAGCCATTTGCCACCGGGAAACGCGCAGAGCCACACTCGCGGCTTTCTCACACTCACAACTCCTGGCTTGCATCTGCACACGCCTCGGGTCCCCTCCTCACTCACCAGCACTCACACCTATGCCCACTGCACACACGCATCAAGCAGTGCGTCGTGGGCTCTCGCCCTGCCTGCTGGCACTCAGGCGCGCGCTCACACTCACTTGTGAACACACTTTGCTCGCCTACTCCTCTCTGCCCATCTGTGGGCTTAACCCCACAGCTGCCCTTGCCGCCCCCTTCCCCACCCTGCCCCTGCGATCGCTGGGAATTACCTGGGGAGCAGGAGACCCTGCCTCTTGAGAGCTGGCAGCCTGGAGCTGCAGCTCCCTCAGCCGAGTGCCAGGCAGGGAGGGAGTCTCAGCGGGAGCCACTCCGTGGCACTGGGATAGTTGGGGTGCTGTTTCCAGCCCAAGCAGGGGGTGGCAGAGGAATGTTGCTTCCAGAGGGGGGCAGGAAACCCCTGCTACCTTTCCTTCGGGTCCCCCCATCTGCATCGCTGGCCCAAAGGGACTGAAATGTGGGAGGCGTCCGTTCCAGCCGCCGTGGGAGCTGGGAGCCAGTATGCATTTCCAGCACGGGGCTGCCTGTCAGAAGCTCCTCGCCCCATAGGAGCCCAAGTTGGCAGCAGAGTTGCATCGTCTGAGGCTGGCAGCTGTGGGGGCTCCCCCTGCTCCCTGACAGGCCCCGCAATGGGCACTGGGGCACAGGCGAAACCTAAGAACCCTTGTTCCAGCCATGCCTTGCCTGCAGGGGCTCCCAGTGGCACCAATGCTGCCTGCCAGGGGCAGGGGGGCTGCACTAGCCTGGGTGATTTATTCCAACAGGAAAGAGTGAGGGGTGTGTGATAGACAGGGAGGTTTGCTGGAGCATGACGGACAAGTGGATTGCTCCAAGGGAGAAGGGGGCTTCCAAAGCCATCCTAGGGTCTCTGCTTTTAGTGAACTGTGACCCCCTGCACCCTCTGCCTCACTGCACCCAGCGGCCCCGCTCTAAGAATCATTTGTGCACCTCGCTTCTCCCGGCGTGGCTGGAGTAGTGGTGAACACGGAGAGTTATTTCCATCTTCAACTTATAGCTGGGGAAACCGAGATTCAGACAGGTGAAGGGAGCTGCCCAAGGTCACAGTGAAAGAGTGGCCGGGTCAGGACAGGGCCCAGGGGCTATGGGGCAAAGACAGTGCTTCTTCCAGGACATTCGTCTCCCTGTCAGGTTCCCTCCCATTCAAAGGAAACTACGAATTCCTCCCTCCCCACCTCCTCGCCCCGTCCGCTGGGTTCCTTGGCGTAGCTGGAACTTGAACACCGGCAGGCTTCTCCAAGGAAGGACTTCCCTGAGTTTGCAGCCCTAAGAGGTGCAAGGACTGGGGCTCTGCAGTTACCCATCCCTCGAGCACCAGACCCAGGATTTGGGTGCCACTCTGTCACTCCCAAGAAAGTAGGGTCTGCCCTCTGTGTGACAGTCCCCGCCTGCCCCCTGGTGCCAGGTATGCAGAGGGGGCACAGCTCCACCCCACCAGCTGTTCTCTCCCGTGGGCATCCTGGAGAGGGCCAACCAAGGCCCGGGGAGGGGCTGGCTGCAGGGGCAGCCTGGCTTCTCTTCTAGACCCCCTGTGTGGCCCAGAGTAAATGAGTCTCTCATCCCGGGCTCCCTCTGTCCCTTAAGAACCGACAGGCTGTGCTGCCCTGCAGGGTCCAGGCTGCCTTCGCCTGACATTGCTGGATTCAAGTCACCAAGTTGTGGCTGCCGAGGGGCCCCCACAGCTGCCCCTGTGCTGGGCCAAGTGCCCGCCACCACAGGAAGGGTTTGGAGCCACTCACTTAATCACAAAGAGAAACTGTTATTAATGATAGTGAGACGCGGCGAATAAGTGGGTCATGTCTAATAAGCCATTTGTGTTCAGGAGGAGAATACCAATTTGATAAAAGCTGTGTGTGCTGAAAAGGATCAGAAATTGCTGTTTAGCAGATTGGAGCCTGATCGTTTCCTTATTCCTGAGCTCTGTGTGTTCTCAGCTGATTCAGGAAATGTGGCCAGGTCGGGAAGGTGTCTGTGGCTGGGGGTGAGGGGTGGGGGTGGCAGGCTGGGGAGGGGCCCACTGAGCCGGCCGCTTGGAGGCTGGTCGCCACTCCAGCTCCATCTGAGCTCAGCACAGCCACCGGCGTAGTGCCTTCTGCCTGCCTGGCCCGGGCTGGGCAGAGGGAGAGCCCGCGATCAGATGGGTCGGCAAAGATGTGGGTCTCCCTGCCCCTCTTCCTCCTCCTTCAGTCGACCCACTTGGAAGCTTTGTCGAGGTGTGAGGAGTGAATGAGGAGTGAACGGTGCTAGTTCTCAAGAGGTGCCAGGCTCTGGGGTGGGGGGCAGGGTGGTAGCCAGCATCTGTACACAGTAGGTGTTACATAAATGGTAGTGGATTCTTTCTGTATTAATATTTCTTTTCCCTTATCAGAAAAGGTTAGCTCCAATGCTGGGAGCTCAGCAGAGGTGGGGGGATAGGGAGCCGAGATGTATGAAGCGCCTACTGTATGCTCAAGCCCCTGGCCCATGGTCACTGCCCTGGCTGGCATCCCTCATGCAAGGCTGGTGTGGGCCACACGAGGAGGCAGGCTCAGGGGGCACCAGTGCTTTACCCAAGGCCACAGAGTGTGCAGGGATCCGGCGCATTCAGAAAGAAGGTATCTCCGGCAGCTCTGGGTCTGCTTCCTGCAGAACAGCCTGGAGGCAGACTGGCCCAGTGACCTGACAAAACTTCTTCCCTGCCTACCCTAACCCAACCTGCTCCCTTCAGCTCCCCAGAGGACCCACAAAGCACCGGGGGCTCCACTGAGAGGAGCCCTCAGCTCATGAAGTGACAGCACCTTGCAAGTTAGGAGCAGGCTGCGGGGCCGGACTCCTTATCCAGTGCTCTGTCCAGATCTGGGCCAGGGCAGGGATCCAGGAGGCAGGGTCTTTTGTGAGGAGCTTTGCAGACCCCCAGCCTCGGAGTACCACCCACCACCATGGAATTTGTAACTGTGCAGCCCTCAGGGTTCTCCCAAACCTCATGGCCCAGGTGGTTCTTAATAGGATCCAGAACCTACAGTTTAATAAGCTCCTCATTCAGCCATGCCTGATGGGAGGGGTGGGGGCAGAGAATTGTTGGGGTCTAGGGCTGCCTTGGTTTGACTTCGCCTAGGAGGGAGAGGTCCAGATCAGTCTAAGTGTATTGGATCCTGTGAGGAGCCCCAGAAAACCTCACGTTGCAGCCAACATGCACACACACACGCACACACACACACACAGGCACCAGGCTAACACCTTCAATTATTAATACACCCCAATGCAGACAAAGACCCTGGCTTGGCCGAGCGCTTCATCCATTGAGTGATTCCCTGTCCTGAGGTTCTGTCTGTGGTCTGTGACCAGCAGGGAGCAGTGGGGCAGGGTGGGAGGAGGGGGGCGGCACTGGGCCATTTGGCAAGCGGTCTGTGCACTGAAAAATGACTCTGGCTTCCTCGTGTTCCTCACTGGACTGCTAGTATCTCACCATCAATAAGCCGCTGGTTTGGTGGCTGGAGCACCGAGAAAATTGAGTCCTGTCTTCCAAAGGTTGTGGTGCTGAAAGTGTGCTGGCTTTGGTCTCGGGCTCCACGATTAGTCTATCAATTATGCCTGTGGACGCTGTGCCTGGGGCTGTGGCGCCCTCCTCCTGCGGGGAACTGGCCCTCACGCGCCGTCGCCCCCAAGTCCTTCACGCCAATTGGCTGTGACATCTTGCCCACCGGCTGCTCCCACAGCCTTTCCCCCAAACAAGGGGAGCCGCGGGTGGCCAGTTGGATGCAGGGCATTCGGCTGCTGGCCACCGTGATGGCAGGGGTGATAGACGAAGTCTCCCTGTGGCAAAGGAACAGGCAAGGCAGTGGGAGCCAGGCGAGTGTCCCCTCTGGCCCACCTGGCACCAGGACAGGAGATGGAGCCCTGGGGAGGAGCCGTCAGGGTCCCGCATACCCTGTCCCTCACCCCCTCCTTATACACAGAAGGACTGGGGCCCGGGGCCGGGGGATCTGCCCCAAGCCGCCGGGGAGGCTGTGCCCTGGCTTGTGGGATCACATGGTCCCATTCTGGGCACAGAGAGGCAGACTTCTGGAAGCAGATGTTTATTGGTGTCACAGAAGGACCTTCCTGGTCTGATTTGATTCTTACAGGAGCCCTGAGCGGGGGATAGGGGGACTGCCCCAGGGCCCCAGTATAGGTGACAAGAACAAGCCTTGCAGAGGCTAAGCGGCTGTGCACGGTCGCACGCCTGGCAGGTGCGGGCTCCAGCGCCAGTGCTTGTAAAGCTTCGGTGCCCAAGAAGGAGTGGGGGGAGGCCTGAAGTTGCACGCTAGGGCGAGGCCTCAGGACCTGGCTTCATGGTGGAGGGAGCATGCTGACCCCCATGCTGTCCACCTGGGAGGATGCCCAGGGCCGAATCCCGAACATGAGAATAGTGACGGGGCATGCAGGAGAGGGGCAGGTGCCAGGAAGAGACGGGCAGGGCAGCCTGAAACAGCGCACTGTTGACGCTCCTGGACATGGAGGCAGCTTCCCTTGCATCCGGGCTCCAGCGCAGTGCCCAGCCCAGGGAGCCGGCAGGGAGGGAAGGGAAAGGGTGGATGGCCAGGAGGACCAGGCGCGGGTCACACGCCTAAACTGTTGTTCACTCCAAGTTAATATATTCTTAAAC